TCGAAATTATTCTGGAGAAATCAACTAAAAATTATGAGTGAGAAATGAGACTGAAAATGGAGTAAAAAAGATGAGTGTGTTCATGAAGATGAATCAGGCGAAAGCAGAGGAGGAGATTGGTCCCACCGGCGCGCATATAACCGCCGCATCATCTATTTTTAGCGGACCACCACCATTTATATTTTTATTGTTTGTTTGGTAATTGTTTATAATGAAATTAGGATGTTGAATGGTTAAGGGAGACTTAAGATACAAAATCATTCAAAGGGTTTTAGAATAATTAAGAGACATTTTTTCTTATTAAATAAGATTCACCTTTTAACGATTCAAAGATTGCCCCTTATTGAACGTATTAAGATGTAAAATTTTGATAACCAACTTGGTCTATATCACCTTCACGCCATGTTTTCAAAATTTGGAGAAAGAAAAAAAAAAAATGAAAGAAAAATTAAACAATTTGTCTTTATTAACCTGGATGTCCAATATGTTATGTGAGTCGACTAATTTTAGTACGACCACCTGTTTTTTGGGTAGCAAAGAGTCATCGTATTTGAACTTTCGTGACCATGAGAGAATTTTATTCCTCTTTGGATTTAAACTAGGGGACCTCCAGACACTTTTGACTTTTGAAGCCTAAACTCAAACTAATCAGATACCCTCGTAGTTATTTGTTTTATCGAAAATGAATGAAAGAAAAATAAATAAAATAATTTTTCATGTTCTTAAACAGAAGAGAAAAAAAAAGGGAAACATGTCATTTTTATTAGTATACCCTTTAAAAGTATGTCTTTTAAAATGAAAGCTCTGGTGGTTTTGTAGCATGGTGTCTTGTAAAAATTATCATGGGATATGGTTTTTATAAGAACTTTGGTTCTTGCTTTGAATTTGGTGTGAAATGACATTTTGTTAGTTCTTTAAATTAAATATTTGATATTTATCATAAAAACATAATAATTACTGATATTAAAAAAATACATAACACTCACAAAATAAGTTCTTATAAGAACTATTACCGTGACTTATATATATATATATATATATATATATATAGGGGAGCGATCAAATGCAAACCACTCAATTTGTACAAACCGTGCAAACCGCATTCAACCAATCATAATTTTTTATTTTGTTCATTTTTTTGTAATTATGAGAGGTTGATTAATCATTTTTATTGTGTAGGGTGTTAATCATAGATATTATCGTCTTCATTATTTTAATTTTAGAGAAATACATGAAACAATTTCATTAATGTTAGAGAAATACATGAAACAGTTTCATTAAGTATTATATGAAACAATTTCACAACCATATATGAAACAACTTCATCAAAAAAAAATATTATATGAAACAATTTCACAAGATTAAACAATTTTATGAAAAAAATTTCATAAGATTAAACAATGAAATCGACAGATGAAGRTGGTTTGCACGGTTTACACAAATAAGAGCGGTTTTCATATGATCACTCCTCTATATATATATATATATATATATATATATATATTCTTAATTTGGTGAATTGGAAGTAATGTGATAAGAAAAAGTACAAAAAATATATTCTTACAAGAGCATCTTGTAGGGCACGAACCCAAAGAGCCATGTAGAATAACCAAAATAATCTCCAGTTGTCTTGCAATACTTGAACTAGATACTTCTAAAAATAATCCTTAAATGATCAAGTCTTATGGGGTGTTTGGTTCAAGCAGGGGAATTAAAATAGGCCATAAAATGAAAATGGGAACAAATTTTCATTCCCTTCGGTTTAACCTATAATGAAAATTTGAGTTTATGAATAAATGAACCCATTATATTATAAAAAACCAAACAGTTTTTTCATTTTCATTAATTATTGTTTAATACCTCTTTTTAAACACCCTTTTATTATCAGTTGAGTTAAACTAAGAGGTTTAATAGTAAGTGTGGTGACATGTAATCTTTATTTAATTTGACATATTGGGGTGGTCAAATGAGAAAAGTGAAGGGATTTCAACCCTAGATTTATATTCCTTCAAACCACATATATTATTGAGAATGAATTGATGATAACATATTCAAAACCAAACAATTATACAATATGCAAATTCCTTCAATAATAATCATTTCTGAATCAGATCAATCAAAATCATAAAAAATAATAAAAGATACGATGTCACATCCATTTAATCGTACCTTCTTCTAAAAATCAGTTCTATTTTTTTTATATAGGAAAACGGTTAATTGATGTGTATTTTAGAAGTCAGTTCATGATTTCTTAAATTTTGTGTTTAAAAAAATGATACAACACAAGGCCAATAACGATTTTTCCAGTTGTTTTTCAGTATTCTTGGATTTAATCAAAATGTGTACAAGCTGGCCTAAATGCTCATAATTAACATAAAAAAAATCTAGTGAACCTAAATTTTTTATCAAAATAATAAATGAATGTTAATAATAAGAAGAGAATATATAGTAACATTGATGGTTTCCTTGTAAAAACATTATTATCAATTGCAGATGAATTTTACATTAAATGGTTTTTTTTTGTTCGTATGGCCTGTATGTCATCCTTGTGGCTATGAGATCCAACGCAACATGTTATGTAAAATATTATGTATAACTAACCAAATAAACTATAGGGGTTGTTCGGTTCGTTTTCTATTAAGACATGTATGGATAAAGTTGTATGTATTGATAAAGCTGTATGTAAGATAACAGATAAGTTGTTGTTCGTTTGCAGTGCTGAATAAATACTTTGAATGACATATATGATCATTTTACCCTTTCATTTTTTTAGCTTTTTCATTATCTAAAAGAATTAATTTCTTGTTCATTGTCCAAGTTCCGATGGTGGAGAGAAATCGACAGTAAGTTATGATTTTGAGGCGAAGAGAGGGGCGAAATTAGGGTTCCGATGTTGGATAGAAGAGGAGGCAGCAGATGCGACGATGGTGGGAACGAGGGGTTTGTTCAGTAGGGTTTCTTGGTGTGAAAGGATGAAGAGAGAGGCCTTGGGAGATGGGTGGTGGGAATTTTGACCATTGTAGGTACGACGATGGTGGTTATGGATATCTTGGATGTGGTGGTTCGAATATGGTTTGGAGGTGGTTAAGGTTGGTGGTGTGGAAGACGCCATCACCAAGATAAGGAAGGAGGTGAGCAGGGTTTGAGGGATTGTGGATAAAAAAGGGAAGATAAAGTGAAGAAATGAGCTCAGCTGCTATTGTCTCCCCCTCATCCTGAGTAATGGTGCATGTAGACTTGGACTAAAAAAAGAGAGGTGAAAATTACAGGGTAAGGGTAGATGGAGAAATTAAATGGCTGAGTGTAAAGGACACATGGTTTTTAGCTGACCAATTAATCCCTCAGTTAAGCGAATAAGCCGCAACCGAATAGCTTTGTATTGCTGAACGAATAAGCTATAAGGTTTATACAATCTATTAAGCCACAAACGAACAACCTCAAAATCTTGTTAAGCTAATTAAACCGGTCACAAGGAGGTATTTTTCCTTTATTGGTTATCAATTGGGCCTGAAATAAACGGCCCAATATTTGGTTATCCCCCACCTAAAAATTTACATCAGTCCTACTTGTCACATACAGTCTACAAACACGTCTTCTGAATTCTCCCCACCCACAACAAAAACGCCCAGCAATGGAAGGGACCTACATTTGAAGACGATTTCTTTCGTAAGTCGTGAAGAACCCATTAGGGTTTATTTTCGTCTCCTCCGATCGGTCTACGGTGCTTGTCTCCGTTCAGTGGTCGCTCTGCTGTCGGCGGACGCTGCTGGTTCCGGTTACTGAGTGCCGTCAAAAATCGAACATTTTGTGTACCCGTTTGGGGGGAGGTAATGTATTATTTTACAACTGAAATACCAGGTATGTTTCGATGATTGTTGATAAAATACTGAATTCAGCTTAATTTCTCCTTTCATCATGCATTTTGCTGCAGCCTATTGATTTAGGGTTTCGTATTCTCGTTGTAAGAATGATTTCATCGGAAGAATTGGTTGCGATAATCTTACAAAAGGAATTTGTGAAATCTCGAGTTTTAACTGTTTGATTTAAGCTATGAAGTTGAATTGTACTAAAATAACTTTATTGATGTCAAACTTGGTATTTTGAAATGTAAAATTGATATGTTCTTCGCTGCAAATTTCACACCAAGTTATTTTTATTCGACTGTTTGGTAGCACTCGTTATAAAATATTTGCATCCCAGACTTTGAAGCTTGAATCAATTATACAGTTGTGAAGTAACCTGTTAGACATCCATAGTCCCAGACTTTAAAACTGAAAAAGGATACGATGCTTGTGATCTCATAGCACTTAGTTTTCGGAAGTAGGAGGAAAGTGGATTAGGATATTAGTTTTTTGTTTCCTGTCTCAACTTAGGATGCTAGGAGTATAACTTAATTGCATAGCTGAAAACAGACAGTTAAAGGTAGAGATTTCACAAAGTTCCTTTGCATATTATCACTGCCAGGATACTTCCAATAGAAACTTTCTTAAAACAAAAGCACCAGCCCGCAACAAACTGCATTAAGAAAAGAAGAAATTAGGCTGGATTATTTCAGATGGAGACCTCGTAGAGACTTAAGATACCCTGGTATATGCTTGGCTTTAAGGATGTTGAACCATGACTGTTCTTATATTCAAGTTATAATTGATTTCTTCCCATTACCTTGTCAGATCTCCCACATTGTCTCAACTACTCCCTTCGTCCCAAAATAAATGTCCACAATCAAAAAGAGAATTTTAGGAATTTGTAATTATTACACTTCATAGTTAACTAAATAACAATTTTACCCTTAACTATAGAGGGAGTAATGAATTTGTCCATCTCATAATCAAGGGTAGAAATGGAAAGTGGACACTTATTTTGGGACAAGACAAAATAGAAACGTGGACACTTATTTTGTGAGGGAGGACGCATCTTTTAGTGTTATCCTATTGAGCTGTGTTCTATCTTTGTTTCCAGATGGAATACGTGGTGACATGTAATCTTTATTTAATTTGACATATTGGGGTGGTCAAATGAGAAAAGTGAAGGGATTTCAACCCTAGATTTATATTCTGTGCCGGGAAGAAAAAACAGAACTTCAAATACAAAGATCTATTACAACATGCTTCGGGAGTGGGCAAAGGTTCTTCCAATAGAAGCGCAAAGCAAAAGGCTAACCATCTTGCCTTGGCTATATACTTGGAGAAAGAATTGGCAGATGAGGCTGAGCAACTGCCAAAAGTGGCGGCTCCACCACCTGCCCCTCCAAGTTCCGAAGAAAATGATTTGTTTTGCTGGCCTTGGACTGCGATTGTGGTTAACATAGTCAAAGAGCCCGAAAGTGGGAAAGATGTGGAGAACACAGAATATTGGATGAAGAGATTTTCAAAATACAAGCCTGAAGTGGTTGAGATCTTATGGGATGATCAAAAGCAGAAAGCACAAGCTTTGGTGAGGTTTAACAATGATTGGATTGGGTTTAAGAATGCCATGGAGTTTGAGAAAGCGTTTGAAGCTGATCATCACAGTAAGAAAGAATGGGTTGCTGCCGAAAATCCTCCAAGTTCGAGTATTTATGCTTGGTTAGCTCGTTCAAATGACTTTGAATCACAAGGGCCAATAGGAGATTATCTTCGCACGGAAAGAGAGCTGAAAACAATTTCTGATCTCGTTCATGAAGCTGTAAAAACTAGAAACAAAGCAGTGGTTGAGTTGGCTACTGAGATTGACATGAGGAATGAAAATCTTGATGATTTGCAGATCAAGTACAATCAGAAAAACATGTCTTTGAGTAGGATGCTTGAGGAGAAAGATAGCCTTCATCAAGCTTTCTACGAAGGTACTCTGCTCTCTCTTGCATTCTTCTTGGTTCTGGCTTCCTCTTCTTTCCACTATACCTTTTTTAAACTTGGCTTCACACTCCCTAATCCAGTGGCAGACCCAGAAAAATTTTCAAGTGGTGGCAACATTGGATGATAAGGGTGAAAGCTATAGAAAATTTTCAGAAAATCATACTAAATTAGTTGGTTGCATTTGCAAGGAAGGATCATGGCTTCGACCCCTGTCACCACGGTTTTTCACCAGTTTTTTCACAAAAGCTATAGGACACCCAAAATTAAAAGTGGAAAAGTGGTAAATTTGCTGAAAGGGGGACTCGAACCCACGCCTTTCTGGGCAAGACACTTTAAACTGGAGACTTAGACCAGCTCAATCATCATAAACTTCTGTCATAAGTTTAGTTTTAGAAATATAAGGGCACACAACAAAACATTACGGTGACACCCTTGAGAAAGGTAATTTTCTTACGGAACCATGAAGCGGTGGCATGGGCCACTGTATGCTCCCGCATAGGTCCACTGCCTGCCCTGATCCAAACTTTGGCATCCATTATACATGGAGGCAGCAGTTATAGTTTTTGTTGCATGCCATACTCTCAAACATGGAGTTGCTTTCTCCCAAACATTTTTTTTATTTATCCTCACAAATGCATGTCTTTTCTTTTAAAAAGAAATATAAGTTCTGTGCGGAAATCTGTGTAGAAGTTTGAAGTCCTACATGTATTGTTCTTGTTCAGAGACAAGAAAGATGCAGCGCCTTGCACGGGAGCATGTTAAAAGGGTATTAGATGAACAAGAAATATTGAATGCCGATTTGGAGAAGCGGAGGAAAAAACTCGATTTGTGGAGCAAAGAACTTAATAAGAGGGAAGCCTTAACGGAACGCGAGAAACAAAAATTAGATGACGAAAAAAGGAAGGTGATTGTTTTCCCAACTTGGCATGCACATACCGTATTATCTTCTATCCTATCCTCTTGTTTGAATTCAAAGTCTAGCTTCAGAGTCATTGATCACACCAATTTGGGTGCTTGATTAATTATAGGGCAAATTGCATGACGTGTCCTGCCTTTTTCTAATTTCTATTTTATGTAACATACTTTCAATACCTTCATTTTGGTATCTAAGATATAATATCTCAAACATTTAAGCACCATGGTAACCGCCGGTTTTTTAAGCATCAACTGGTTACCGTGCTGACATGGTGAAGGACAGGGCATACTGTATATATTTGTTGATGTGGCCAATGATATGGATTTTTATATCTTTGCTGACATGGGCAATGGCATGACTTAGATTACATTTGTTAATGAAGTTGGCTGCATGAGACCAATGGCTATTTTCTTAATGACTTTTCAACTTATTTTTCCATAAACAATAATATACCATGTTGATGCACCAATTTTTCTTTACTGCTTTCCCCAGAATCACAAAATATAAAATCCAACCTTTAGCTCATGCTGTAAACAATGATTCTCAGTGGGATTGACAATGAGGGGAAATAGCATGTGTCAGTGTTTGGAGATACTTTGCTAATGCTGAGAATTGCAGTGGGGAAATTATATAGTGGCAAGGGTTTTTTATGCACTTCAATTGAAAATAGTTTTTTTTAATAATTTATTATATTTGATTCACATCTATTTGTAAATCCAGAACGATGTTCAAAACAACTCTCTGCATATGGCGTCCATCGAGCAGAAAAAAGCTGATGAGAGTGTCTTACGACTGGTTGAAGAGCAAAAGGTAAACCAGCCAAAGTCTGTAATTATGTATTCTTATCCAACTTTATACCCTCGTGTATACAATGAGTCTTGGAACTTCTGACCGGATTCTGAACCACAGAGAGAGAAAGAGGAGGCTCTGAAGAAAATCCTCGATTTAGAGAGACAGTTAGATGCCAAACAGAAACTGGAAATGGAAATAGAAGAATTGAAAGGGAAGCTGCAAGTGATGAAGCATCTAGGGAACCAAGATGATGCTGCGGTTCAAGAAAAAATAAAAGAGATGGATAACGAGCTGCAAACAAAGATGGAGGAGATGGAGGACGTAGAAAACATGAATCAGACTCTTATGGTTAAGGAACGCCAAAGTAACGATGAGTTGCAAGAAGCTCGGAAAGAGTTGATCAAAGTATTGCTACTAAATTTCATTAATCTCTGGTTCTCGTTTGAAGTATATATAATATTTATATATGACAAAACTCACAACCACTCACATTTTGGTGAGGTTTGACCCTTGACCTCCACGGAGGTTGGGACTTCTGCTAACCCAGTATGGCTGGGCCAATGACCCTTTGGTATTAATGTTTGGCTTTCTAACCATGCCGTAAGACTTGATGAAGATGGGGCAAGTTAACAAATTGTTCTTTGTTTTCAGGGTCTGCAAGATATGTTGAGTGGACGAACTAATATTGGGGTGAAGAGGATGGGAGAACTCGATACAAAAGCCTTCTATGATGCATGCAAGGAGAAGTTTGAACCTGAAGAAGCTCAGATCAAGGCCACTGAATTGTGTTCTTTGTGGCAGGACAAACTTAAAAACTCAGAGTGGCATCCAGTGAAAGTTGTTGCAGTAGATGGTGCACATAAGGTATGGTTCTCGAAATTCTGTTTTTGGCTTGGTTTTATATGAAAGTTGTCGGTCTAGGCTGTCAGACATCTAGGTTCCTCTTAATTGTGGTATTTGGCTCCTTTGGCCCACTAGTTCATGAGCAGGGACGAACCGTAAACCTATATGGAAGCACCACGGTGTCCCATGAAACCGCTTCATTGTGCTCTTGTAGTGGAATTCTTTTACATTCCTTGACGGAATGCTCACATGTTATTTTGCTTCCTATGATGCTTATTTTGAGTAAAACATGCTATAATGTACTCGGTGAGCTTTATAAATGTTGTTCAATTTCTGGGCATAAAGCAGACTTTGTATCATTGATCCCAGAAACAGCTGCCCGATTCTTTAGGGTAGATGTCAGGTGAGCGTACATCTTAGTTCTCACCCCGTAGACCCTATTTTCGAGTGGGATTTATAGGGTCGGTTTGGTTTATTATTGTTAATCCTTATTCATGTTTTTAAAAATAAAATGGCTCATTTGCATGATGCAGGAAGTGATTAATGAAGATGATGAACTGCTAAAGAATCTCAAAGCAGAATGGGGGAATGGCATATTTGATGCAGTGGTTGCCGCATTTAAGGAGATGAATGAATACAACCCTAGTGGCAGATACGTGATTAATGAACTTTGGAACTTCAAAGATAATCGAAAAGCCACATTGAAGGAAGTTATTAGCTACATCTTGAAGAATTTGAAGAGCTTGAAGCGCAAGAGATGATAAGGTTTGTATTTTGCCATTTGCCATCATGCTTTCTATCTAATCCTGTTTTCTTTGTATTTAAGGCTCATTCAACATTTCTCATTGTTCCCACTAGCTCTGCATGCATTATAATTTTTTCTTGGATACTCGAGATTTAGTGATATGCACTGTGCTAAATTCATAACCATATTGGATTATCCATTCGCAAGACCATCTTCCAGGTTACATCAGGCAGAGTCTCATACATAAACTAGCTTTTTGTAGCCTTCTTGAGCAAACCCTGTTTTGTTAGCCATAAGCTGGCTTTTCGAATCATTTCAATCAGCTACATAGGCTTTTTCCCACCTTTTTTAATTGTGTCCCCCTTTGTCCTTTTTCCAATTAATACTGAATTGGATACCACATCACTCGTCACATCAGCATGGTAACCGGTTAATGCTTCAACCGGTTACCAAAATGAAAGTCTAAAACTTTACATCTTAGATACCAAAATGGAAGTTTTGAAAGTACGTTGCCTAAAATAGGAATCAAGTTAAAAGTACATTATTTTGCCCTATTTTATATTATCTGATGCATTCTCGATCCGGCTTTGGGTTTGGGTATTGAGGAATGCAACGTTTAACTAAAATGTATGTTGTTTGAAACAGATGCAGAGCTGGCAATTCCTTGATGGCAATCATGAGGAAATCTCTCAAAAGCAATGAATTTATGTGAATTTTTAGGAATTGTGGACTTGTATTTGGACCTGTGTAGTTTTAGAAGTGGCTACTTCTCTAATCTGAACCTCCTCCTTCTGCCTTCTTTATGGAATGCTTTGCCATTGCTTTTTTAACAATAAACATGTAGTGAAAAAGTAGTCTATAAAAACCTAAGAACCCGTTTGGTTTGCGGGATTTGGATTTGAAATCCCGCAATTTACGGGATTAGAAATCTTTTGTTCCCGTTACATCTTTACCCTGCCTCGTTCATCAAACCTGTCATGATCTCTCCATCGTCTCCACATCGTACTGAAACAAACAAATATGTACACAGAATCAAACAAGATGTATGAGAGAAAGGAATTCAATTTTGCTCCAAATCCTACAAACGCACGCCACAAATTCATATTCTTTTCACATGATCCAAATTCCTGAAAAAAACATTCATCGAATTTGGATTTTTATAAAAACAAATTATTAATAATTATATAAAAACACCAATCTTTTTGTACAAATCTTACGAAACCCCGTGAAATACCAACCGTCCCATGCGATTTCAAATCTAGAGAATGAGAATCTTTCAAATCAAATGTGAAATTTAATTTCAAATCGAATTCAACAAACCAAAATACCTGTAGACCTATTAGCTTAGGCAGCCAGTGATTTTGTGTTGGATTTTGCTAGATGCCAACACTTGCTGTTATATGAGTTCTTTGCCAATCTCCCACCTATGTTTAATTCTGCCGATTGCTATCGATCCCTTTTGCGGGTTTCATGTATCTATCATAAGCGAGAGTTTTGTCCGATTCAAGTGTATTCCGGGGATGGTTTGGATCAGGACATTGACATTCTGACATTAACGTCTATTAATGTCCCGGCTGTTCACGGCGGAAGAAATCAAAGAATTTCTTGGAAATCCTACAAGATTTGTTCATTCGTTCTTTTTTCTCTGATAGAGTCAGAACTTCATCTGGGTTTGAATAGGTCCCCAAGAGATCAAACAAAAGGTAATGAATCATAATTATTCAACTCGTTAAACCACATGCTTTGAATCCAAAACAACGATAATAAACTGATAGGAAAAGAAAACGTACACGGCGTGTTTCGTTTATTGGGTAACATTTTCAGCCATCAATATCGATTTTTGGTAAGCATCTTTCATGCAGTAAGCCCTTATTGTGTAAGGGGTTGTTTGGTTGGTTTTCCATTAAGCCGTGTATGGATAAAGTTGTATTGTGTATTAATATGTATGTATAAATTTGGAAGGTTTTTGTTTGAGAGGGGTTTTTCAATAGATGAAAGGAACGTCCTTTAAATTGGGACGGACATGTTTGGATAAAACTTGGCTTTCTGCATAAAGCTCCCCCTAAAAGCTTATTGAATAGGCCACTTTTTGTATCATTAAGCCACTACCAAAATGTCATATATAGCTGACCGAATAAGTTGCGAGTCTCATTAAGCCTATCAAGCTTCCAACAAACAGGTCCTAAGAGTCTTCTTCCTCCTTTACCGGGTATGCCATACACACCAGGTAAGGTAAGCGTTTCGTAAACGGCCGATTAGAATCAATATAGACAAAGAAAGATCAGGTCCATGTGAAAGCGTAATTGTCACCCACTAGCAGGACCGCAAAATGTTTGTGAACATCCTACCTCAAACCCTACTCGAATGAATATACCGGGTACATTTGGTTTGACAGTCTACTAAATAAAGCTACATCTGGCATCACAAAATTAGAAAGAAATATAACATTTTGGATTCACATATGCACATGTTGCCAAAGAATCTTGATTACACTTAGTGGCCGTTTACCAAACGCTTATCTGGGTAAGCGCTTACCAAGTAACATTACCTTACCGGATGAATATGGTAAGGACCGAGAATCTTGTCCAGTAAGAGCGAGACAAGGACCAAGAGTCTTACCCGATAAGTGAGGGCGACGACTCTTACCACGGTAAGCGCTTACTCCTGCGTTCATAAAATAAACAAAGAGATACGGAAACAATCAACAAAAAGATACATACCGTCACGACAAGAGATCCATCAAAAATGTTTCGCCATGAAATCCGACCTGGATCTGGATGACTATAGACATCATATACGACCGGCTGCATCATTTTGTTGTTGATCCACAACCTATCACTTATTCATCACGCGATCCTAAGGGTGCGTTTGGTATGCGTAACAGGACAAAACAAAAACTTGTGTCTCACATTTGTTGCAACATTTAAGGGCCGTTTGCCAAATGCTTACAGGATAAGTGCTTACTAGCAGGAGTTACTCTCATTTACTTTATGGGGTAACATTTTCGGCCATCAAAATGCCGGTAAGCGCTTACTGGGTAAGAATCATCACCATCACTTACCGGGCAAGACTCTCAATCCTTGTCTTCCCTCTTACCGGGTAAGATTCTCGGTCCTTATTATGTTCACTTGGTAAGGTAATTGAACTAATAAGTGTTTAGTAAACGGCCTCGTAGACTGAGACAGAACCAAGTGCAAAAAACATTTTTCTTCTCCCTTTGAAGATGGGGGCATCAAAACGTTGTTTCGGCAATAACCAAGTCAATGCAATCCTGAAGGGGAGAGAATTTGTCCCACCAAAATAGACAGAATAAAAATCAAGAATATGAGACAAGATTGGTAAATTACTAAACTACCCGTGCCAAATACTAAGCTTATAACCTAGAGAAATACTTTCTCACCCGCCCAATCCAATCCATTCATGTCTACATACCAAACGCACCATTAAGGAATCTAAATCATATAAAATAAACACCATGGATGAAGTAGAAACCATAACATTAAGCTATAGAAAAGAGAAACCCATGACCAAAAGATAACCTTTTTTCTCTCAAGAAGTGTACAACCTGTGGTGCCTTTACAACACACATATAACTCAAAACAACCAACATCTCATCTTTCTTTAATAACTTGTGTTCTTATTTTTTTCTAACTACTCTTTTCGAACGATCATCTCTTAATTCTCAACACCTAGACCATACAAAACACCGGCATACTTCTCCAGCGAACCACTAAAGAAACAATCTTTCAACTTTCTGAAAGTACAAGCAGTAAGCAAACTATCGGAACCAGCCTGATGGCAAACACCAATTCTTTCAACTTCCAACAGTTCAGCTAGCTTATTCAACCCACCATGAAGACTGTTGCAAAACTTCATCAAATGCTTAATGTCAAAAATGGTAGGGAAATACATATTGATCAAACTAAAGAACCCAGATTGTGTTTCAGGCAGATTCTGGCAAGTTAACACCTTCAACAAATACCCAAAATCATAACCACTATGGAAAGTAACCCAATGAACACCATCATTCAAAACAATCCCAGATGACATCAATAACTCACCAAATCTATGTGCATCGATCCCCTTTTCGTTGTTTTCCTTAAAATCAATACCACTTTGCCTCAAAAGCTCAACGGAATCATTTGCAAAAACATCATCGTTCACATTGAATTCTCTGAAATTGAATTGCCATATGCAATACTTATCTGTTCCACAGGTTGGTAGATTTCCTTGATCATCGAAGAAAGTTAACCCTAATTGGATCAATTTGAGCATGTCCACGTTGTCTTTTAACGTCTGGTAATGATAATCGTTACTGTTCTTGAAATTTCCGACGGGACGAAGAACGATTCCTGGAAATTCGGTGTCCATTGCTATGTAGGAAAAATCATCGACTACGCCTTGGATCAATGCGAATTCTTCTTCGAGATTGTCATTCCACACCTCTCGAATCTGAATCGAATCGCCTTTTGACAAAAGCGACATTTCTCATAACAGGGTTATCGAATTTTTATCCAGATTTCTTGAAGAGATTAATCATGGATGAAATTAAACGAAACCTCTTACGGGTCGACTCAGATCTGCAAAATGTACAAGTCAGCAGACATGATCAGTACAGAATAATTCAATAAAAATTAAAGGAAGTGAGATGAGGAAGTAGGAATGATTGAGAAATTGCAAAACCTTTGCGATGAAGATCCAATAATCAGGCAAATCAAAATTAGGGTTTCGAAGGGAACAGAAGAAGAAGAAGAAGAAGAAGGGGAAATTTGGGTTTATTTTATTGGGTGAAGGCTGCTGAGAGGGACCATTTCCATGTCGACTACATGGCGTCATGGCCCACGAAAAGAAGGGGAAAATGGTCACATATGTCGTGTAATTTGGTCGGGAAGTTTGTTGTATTTTTTTGTTTATCGTAACAAATATAGTTTGGTGAAGAGCTTTTTTTTTTAAGGTTAAGTTGGATAAAAAAGTAATGTATTTTGGTTTGATTTTTATTTTGGGTAATGTATTTTCAAAAGTTTTATTTTGATATCTAAAATGTAAAGTTTTAAACATTTAAGTACTTGTGTAACCGGTGGAAGTATTAACCGGTTAATTTGTTGATGTGTATCCAACTCAGTATTATATGTTAAAGCATTAACCGGATACCACATCACTCGCCACATCATCATGGTAACCGATTAATGTTTCAACCGGTTATCCGGGTACTTAAATGTTTAAAAATTTACATCTTATGTACCAAAATGAAAGTTTTAAAAGTACGTTACTCAAAATAGAAATCAAGTTAAAATACGTTATTTTTTTCATGTAATTTACCCTTTTTTAACCAATTTCCTCAACTAATTTTAGCGGTCACAGCCAGAAAAAATATGGGTTGTCTTCCAACATTCAAACCGGTGACCTCTGAGTATCCTTAAAGTATGGGTGTTCAAACCATTTAAACCGGTCTTTTTGACAGTTTGAGTTGTCTGCCACTGACACTCTGGTCAAATCTGGAAAATACTCAAAACCTGTGGTCCAATCTGGTCTGCAGTGTAAATGTTTTTTTTAGCATTTATAGATTGAACTGACCGTCAAAAACACACATGTAATAATTATATTTGTTTTTCATGTTTTACACCCAACTTTTAATCTTTTATGGTCCAATAAAAAAATTGTCCAAGACATTATGTTTTTAGTTTTCATTTCTCAGTTGACTATATTATCTAAAATTGGCAAAATTCCACAAATTTCAAAATAGTCATTCGACTTGCTCAATGTTTTTTTTAATTCTATAGATAAACATTTACTTTGTAATTTAAGTATACTATTTTTTTAGTAATGTTATATTAATATTATGTTTTTTAGTTTAAAGCCGTAAAAGGTTCAAACCGCCTAAACTGATCAGAGCTTACCGTTTTTATGTGGTCCAGTTTCACACAGTTTGGTCAACTGTTGTCAAACTGCTCAAATTAGAGATTTCCTAAACCACCATTGCGGTCTGGGTTGTGGCTTGGAAGGTTAAACAGTCCAAACCAGACCATGAACATCTCTACCTTAATACAAGTTAAGCCAAGTTCACCCTGAATTTCGCCCATGACTAATATTTGTATTTGAAAAGGGATCAATAGTTAGACGTTTTTTTAAAGGAAAATAAACTAGGATGAACAGTACGTATGGTTGGCATACACCTTACAGGCCTCTTACACAAAAGAAACACAAGTAAAAAGTATGCATTATTTGGTACCTAACTGGACGAGAGAGTTGTTCATGGGCGGGACGATCCATTAGAACCAACTCATCCGGCCCACTAAAAATACGAGTTTGGACAACCAGTATCAAGGAAATGGACAGGCCCGGGTTTGTTCGTTAAAATTAACGGGCGAACATGAGCAATGTAAAGATAAATATGAACTGGCCCACCCGAACCCGTTTGTGTTTAATGTTTAATATTTTTTTATCATTAATCAAAATTATACTAATATATTTTAAAATCAAATTATTAAAGTTATAGAATGAGAGTTGGGAGGTTTTTCTTGATAACCCAAAAGGCTCTACATTAACTTTGTTAGCATCCTTATATCAAAAGTCCTAACCGATCAACAATGGATAGAATCGGTAGTTGCTTAAAGTTTTAATTGCAACAATGTTTTTTCTTTACTTTTTTGGTTTCATATCTGTTAATTAAAAGTTACACTTCTTAAGTCCGTTAGCCCGTGAGCAAGGCGAGCCGTTTATAGGGCGAACAATGGCAAGTTGTCAAGCCCGAAAAAAAGGGTTTGAGTTTACAATATTAGGCCCGTTGAACAAAAAAAAAGTTAGACCTAGCCCGGACACGCAAATGATCACCTCTACCGGACGCCTTCTCGTTTTATTACAACCCATAATAGAAAAGGAAAGAGTCTAACAAGAAATACAAAAAAAAACAAAAAAAAAAACAGTAATTTCAGTGTTAATAAAAGCCGATAATATTAACTCAAAGTTCATTTACGTTACCTTTATATGCATGTATGAAAATTGAAACGAAAAGTAACGAACACGACATGAATACAGAGTATCAGAAGTTAAATAACCTGATTAACGGTCATGCTTGACTGGTTTGGAAAGAATAAAAGATGGAAAGGGAAAAACATAACACAATTAAAAGTAGAAGGACTAAAAGTTAAAACTTACGGATTTTAAATACAACTAGGGTTTTAGATTTCCGTACCCTTTATAATCTCTCAAAGTTCTACGGGCAGAGCCGACCTGCCTTTGTTTCTTTGATATTGCAGCAGCAGAAGGTACTAATCCATCGCTCTCTCTAAATCTCTTTTGAATCTTGTATGGTAACTCATCGTATCATTTCCTCACACCATAGCGTTGGATAATGCAATATTTCTGCTGTTTTTTCATAATTTGTTAGAAGAAATCAAGCATCATGTGTTTTTAGGTTTATATTGTGTATGGATTTGTCTGTTTCCTGATAGTGATTTCAATTTCCTTTAAATTGCAAGAATAGTGGTTGAAAACAGCTCGATCCTTAGTCTCTCTGATGTTACGATCTAAATGTATCGATAAGTTTGAGAAAATGATTGCTTTCTTTTGGTTAATGGCATTCGGTTTGTTTGATTCCATGAATTATTTAGAAGACAGTGTAGCAATTTTATGGTGGTATTGATAAGTTGAAGCATTGAGGGGGTAGAATGCCTGATGCAAGTAACGTTAAAGGAAGATAGAACAAAAACGAGTTCCATCAGCAAAGTAACAATGTTAGTGTAAATGTCATTTTATGTAGATGTATGCTTCTTTTTTTGTGCTCAATGTCTCTGGTTTTATATTCACTTTGATTATTTGCTGAATTTATCTTGTGACAGTTTTATATATCTGTGCCAATGGAAATATTGTGTACACGGCTTTCTAATGGAAATGATTTGACACACTAAAGTATCAAACCCATGTTATGATTAGTAAACAGCAGGTGGTTTGGGGACTTTACTGATTTGTTAAATTAAATGCATGATTAATGGGTAGCAGTTCATCAAACTATATCATAGCTTGATTATATGTTTGTGGAACAACTTGAAGTTGCATGTTTTTTTAGTTTATTATGAAGTATCGACCTTTAACAAAATGTTCCTTTGCCTGACGTGATCTTCTCTCACTCTTTTGGACAGCTTGACTCGAAGATTTGATCAACAGAAAATATGGCAGGGTATGTATATGATGTCTTTTTATGCAGTATGATGATACATGCCTTTGAGTGAAAACAGTTATCATATCATTTAATATGGCTAGTTCTGATTTGCGTTCTCTAATAAGTGTGATGTCCTTTAAATACGATCAAAGGATTTTATTATCTAATCAACACTTTATTGGATTTCAAGGATGCACTTTTGCTTCTTTCTTGCAATCTAGTTGTTTATGGACTCCACACAAATAAAATACTGTCATCGTGTATAGTCATGCCATTGGGTTTTTTATTGAAAAATGTTAATACAAACCCATAAAACTTATTTCCTTGTTGAATTCTTTTCCTATCTCTGAATCTTCTGGTCTCTAAAACATTTAGGTGGTGTTCCTTTGGTGGTTTTGGATCTCTGACAATTTATCATTCAGATTTCTGTCAAGAACACTTGCTGAACAAGCCAATTAATCGTTCAGGGCACAGTAATTCATTTATAACAAACAGATTTTTTATCTGATTGAATCAACTAAACCAGGAGTTGTTTGTAAACTAGTAGTGGATATGCAAACACAATCTGTTAATTGAGCTTCACTTGGCATCCAACAGTTGTGCACTTTTTCTACAAGCTCACTTAGCTTACTGTTTTTTCAATGTTTTGCTCTTGCAGTGAAGAAGCTGTAGTTGCTGTTGAGGCACCCGCCCCTGCTCCTGCTCTTGGTGAGCCAATGGACATCATGACCGCTCTGCAACTTGTCCTGAGAAAATCACTTGCTCATGGTGGTCTTGTGCGTGGACTTCACGAGGCTGCAAAGGTGATTGAGAAGCATGCTGCACAACTTTGTGTGTTGGCTGAGGATTGTAACCAGCCAGACTATCAAAAGCTGGTCAAAGCACTATGCGCCGATCATAATGTGAGCTTGGTAACTGTTCCCAGTGCAAAGACCCTTGGCGAGTGGGCTGGTGTAAGTCTCTTCACACTCCATTGTTTTCAAAAATTTCTAAAGCATCACTATCATTATAATTTATTTCATTTGGTTTACGTTTTCTTAGTCGTTTCTTATACCTCTTGACCTGCCATTTATGTGGGAATTTATGTGGTTTGATTTCTTTTAAAACCAAACCAAATGAATCCATTATGGGGTGGGATGTATGCAGACTTGTTCTCTACCCCAAAGCTATTAAACACACATCCCTCCATATAATCAACTCCCTAACCCTCCTCTAGTCCCCTTGTCTCAACCTTAACCTATCGGACTCCCTTCTTCCTATCCATGCTAGCTCCAAGGGTCTACACTTCAAGTGATTTGTCTCTGAGGATGCTTTTGGTACACAGATTGTACCGGGTTTATGGGGCTGGACGAGCAAGTGATGTAGGTGGGTGAAAGAATTGTGGAAGGTATTAGGGTTTTAAGTTGACATTGGTAGTTTAGAAATTTAAGCTTGTTCATTTTGTTGGTTTTTGCTCCACCTATTTTGGTGGGACGAAAAAAATGTATTTTTATCCCACAAAGTTTTATTCTATCCCGGTCTAATGTTGCGTGAAACACAAAACAAAATTTTGTTTTGTTCTGTCTTGTGTACCAAAAACGCTCAAAAAACTTGTACCAAAGGCCATGTTCTCATAAATGCTTAAGGCTATCATATCCTGATAGATATCTTTTAAGGATTGTCATGTTCATCCTCAACCGCTCATCCTACTTTCTCACCCCTTTTTGAATATATATTTACATATATCGAGGTGGTTTATTTTGCAACCTATTTCATTTGTACAACCAATGCAACCTCATCTTAATCATCAATTAGTTCATCTATGGTCAATATTTGATAAGGTGGAAAAGGTAGTTACAGATTATCAGTTAAAAAAAATGAAAAAATAAAATAATATAAAATGGACGGTTTAGGGCTGTATTGGTTGTACAAATAGGATAGATTGTATTTGAAACATGCTCTCTCTCTTCTCTCTCTCTCTCTCTCTCTCTATATATATATATATATATATATATATATATGGTTGAGTTCCGTTGAGAATGAAAGTTATGGTGAGATGGTAAGGAGAGATCTTCATCCTTTGATGCATATTAAGATGAGAAGCACTGAGATGAGATGCACCGGATCAAACGCTGTATCAAGCGCAATTCATGGGTGGGTTTGAGGTTAAAAGCAATCAAGGGTTCAGATCCTTCTTACTTTCTCAAATTAACTCTTCGCACACGGTCCTTAGTCTATATATAATGGTTCTATGGTTTGTTACTCTATAATGTCTTTTTAAGTGGTTCTGATTGAATTGTTCGGTTACAGTTATGCAAAATTGACTCGGAAGGCAAAGCTAGGAAGGTCGTGGGTTGCTCGTGCCTTGTTGTGAAGGTACAATTTCCGAGTTGAAAACGTCAAAAACCGATTTTTGCATACATATCGTTGTCTCTTTATTTGAACTTCTCATAAAATATGCAGGATTATGGTGAGGAATCTGAAGGGCTTCACATTGTTCAGGAGTATGTGAAATCTCACTAAATATATGGATGTAGATCCAAATACTTACTCTACTTCAATGTTGTTTGATCAATTTTGAATTTTTGAAAGCATGGAAACTTGGCAAATTTAGATTTTTCCAGAAAAAACTCCTTGTCAAAGTTCATTAGATTTTAATTATCAGTCTTTTGCCTTTTTGTTTTTATTTGTTGATGCTGGGTTATTATCAAAATTATGCATTATTATGTACATTTTGCTGTTTCAGTTTTGAAACTTCTTTAAACACATTTTAATTAGCTGTTAAAACTTCATATACACATTATACATAAAGAAGAAAAAAAGTGTCACCAAAGGGCCTTTGTTCTAGGCGGTATCTGAGTTTCAAACCTCACCAATTGTGAAAGGGGGTGTGAATTTATTTATTACATTTGTCGTATTTAAAATTATATTATATACTTTAAAAAATAGTGTTTAAATGAAATAAAATTTGGGTGAAATATATCAAAATACAAGGTTTGGTTTTTGTTTAATGCACTAAGGGGTTGTTTGTTTACCAATAATAGTTTCATTAAAAGGCAACATTTGAATCGTTAAGAGGTGAATCTTATTTGCAAGCAAAGTTTGTATCTTAATGGTTTTAAAACTCTTTGAATGATTTTGTATCATGGATCTTTCTTAACCATTACGAGCCTTAATTTCATTGTATACAATTACCACACAATAATATTTCATTTATACTATTTTATTAAAGCCTTTTAATCATTCTGACCACTTAATCATTGTGAATCAAACCATTCAACAATTGTCAAACAGTTCTTACGGGTTTTTTCTTCTTGATATGTATAACGAAGTTCCAAAAATTATTGTTTTGTATCCAATTTGATAAGTTGAAAGTCTTTCACAAAAAATGACAGTTCTATTTTCAGAAGTAGAGATTAGATTTGTGTATATCAAACTCGGCTGGTAACAAAAGTTCAATATAAAAGTCTTTTAAAATAAAAATTGGTTTGAGCATCATAGGTCAAAAGTGTAGAGATCTCAGATACGAATCCAAGGATAAATAAAAATACTCTTATCGTCATAGAAGTTCAAATATGGTGACTCCAGGCTACCCGTGAAGTGGGTGGTCGCCCTGGGATTAGTCGGTTTGCAAAGCGGTAGGGCCATAAACGAACTAAACGAAAATCTTTGTGTTTGTGTTCTTTTGTTTAGAAATCAGGTGTGTTTGTGTTTATTTATGTTCGTTCATTAACATGCTAAACGAACGTAAATGAACGAACATAAACAAACGGGCTAAACAACATAAATTAGTCATTTTATCTATTATATCTTATTATCAAACATCGAACAGCTGTTCTATCATGTTCTGTATTATCTGTCTTATTACCAAACAATGGACAACTGTTCTATCATGTCCTGTATTATCTGTCTTATTACCAAACATTGAACAACTGTTCTATCATGTTCTGTATTATTATTTGTCTTATTCTACCTGTATACCAAACGCACCCTAAATCAATTGATACCCAAAACTGTTCCTAGAGTCGTATTTTATTAAAGGAAACGTACAAAGAGACGAAAAGTAGGCCTTGTTACACATCCACATGCACCCAAGAGAAAGGAAGAAAGGGTAAACGTATCATGGAGTCGAACAAATAGATATCTAAGGCCCCAAAAGCTGGTACACTCCTATATGTATATCACTTGCTTCAAGTGTTTTTGGTTCACTTATCAAACCTGCAGATAGGCTTGCATATGTCGATGATATCGAACGATAATAAATGCAAGATCTAGAGGAAAAAAAACAACGACCTACATTATACGCGATCCGTTCATTTGCTTTTGGAGACCGGTAGAAAGACGCCCTCCACCACCAACCAAACGTTGTCCGCACGTTTCTCCCTCACACCACAAACCTACGACATGGTAACGGTGTCAGATATGTGGAAAACCAAATATACTTGGTATATTCCAGGCAGAGATAGGGTTTGCGGGTAGGAAGTACTAAAAACCAAACAATATGGTTTGGGGGTGGGAAATACTGAAACCCAAACAAACTGAATAAATTCCAAATAGAGATAGGGTTAGGAAGTACTGAAAACCGAACAAACTCGGTAAATTCTATGCAGAGATAGGGTTTTGGGGGTAGGAAGTACCGAAAACCAAACAAACTCGGTAATTTCCACATAGAGCTACGTTTGGAGGTAGGAAGTACTGAAAACCGAACAAACTCAGTAAATTCGACGCATAGATACGGTTTTGGGGGTAGGAAGTACTGAAAACCGAACAAACTCGATAAATTTCATGCAGAGATAGGGTTTGGGGGTAGGAAGCATGGAAAACAAACAAACTCAGTAAATTCCACATAGAGAAAGGGTTTTGGTGTAGGAAGTACCGAAAACCAAAGAAACTCGGTAAATTCCAAGCAGAGATAGGAAGTCATGACAAGTAATATAGCGATGTAGCTCTCACCTCTTGCTGACCACCAGCAATGCGGTTGTATTTCTTATCGTGGCTGTGTAGATATCCGCTTGTGTCAACATGGCGAAGCCTTATTCTCTGATCTTGTCTCCAAGTTTTTCCGCTTCCCTCAATTTCAAGTCTAATGAACCAACAATCTCAATATAGTCAATGTGGGGCATAAATGATTTTTTTTCTGAACAGTTAAATCATAAACCTAAAGAACAAGAAAGTAAGATGATCAAGGTAGCTCTAACCTCCAATAATCTCCGGTATCTGAATTGCCATCATCTCCAAAGCAACTCACCTACACAAAAACCCCGCTTACATTTTGAACCAATCATAAACATCTACAAGTTATAATATGTATATAGGAGGTAATTGTTGATAATGACTTTAAACCAAACCAAACCAAACACACCCGGTTTTTTGAGTGATTTTGACCATCCCATTTCAGCAATTTCATGGTGCAACTGTTTATATACATAGTAAATGCATATATTGTTCATAGGAAGACTATAAAAGGGTCACTGGCCCGGCGGCACCCAGATTACTAGTAGAGCCCAGCCGACCAAGTGGTCAAGGGTTCAAACCTCGCCAAAAGGGAGGAGGGTGCATGAGTATTTGCGGTATATAAATATTATATACTTCCAAAAAAAGACTAGCAAAAGCATCAAAAGGATCATTGGCCCAATACCAGGTAGAGCCCAGCCTCCTAGGACGTCAAGAGTTCAAAACCTCACCAAAGGTAACGAGTTTGCGTGAGTAATTGCCGTATAAATACTTAAGAAAAGGAGTAGCAAAAGGCCAATTGGCTAACCTCTAGATTGCCTGATATAGGTGAAGCATGCAAGTGGCTATGGAGCCATCTCCTGGTTTTCATGTGTTGCAGCCGAATGATGGTTCCACTTTTTATACCATCTCCCTGTTTTGCTGATGTCTCTGGCATAGGCCTCACAATCTGGTTTGTAAGAGTTCAAATTTGAAGCAAAAATCAGGAACCCACATCACAAATATATGTTATCAAACTTATTTATGTCGTTCAAACGTATGGAATGGACATAAACACCATGAACATACCCAGTAGCTATTGGCATCATCTACATTAGGAAAACCGGTAACAGATTGCTGCCCACTGCCTGATCCATAAGGCACATCATGCGAGTGCAATCGGAATCTTGTCTTTTCATGCATCAGCTTGAGTACCGACCCATAAGTAATCTAGCATACAGTTGCAAGAAATGAACATATATGGGCAATAAATGAAGTCAAACAAATCATCATGAAAGAATAATCTCGCTCTCAGTCTTCCTTTCATTTGTTACTAACTTATTCTAAAAAAAAACACCCCAGTCTCTAAGCATTCTTGTGCAGATATTTTCTATTATGTTCTGAAAATTCAAATATAAAGTGCTAAACCGTATAAAAGCATGATTTTGATTTACTGTAATTGGAGACTGGTGAACTGTTGTGAATCTTTCTTCCTCTGTAACTATCAGTTATCACATTCTTTCTTAAGAGGCGACCAAGAAACAACTAACCATCAAAAGGAGTCCTTAATGCAATATCAGGTAACAAACCTACCAATTAAGCTAGCATAGAAACAGTACAAGCATTCTCATTTTGCTAGTTTATTGAAACAACATCAAAACACACATGTAAAACACCGAACTCTTACATTTCTAATTATACCAAGCTCATACTACTCTGAGATGCACAAATCACTCTATACCCAAAACAAGAGAGAAAAATCTACCCTATTCAGGGTAATTGCTGTTCAAATCTAAAAATAACCAGGATTCTGTTACGAATACAATGGCCGCCCATTCTATCAGTGGGACATAGCCACATAGGGCTCTCCTAGGCCAGTTTTGAGCTCTTCCCCCATGGATGCTCTCATGCTCCTTTAGCCTGAACATGACTAGTTTTTTTATCACATTTTTGCTCAAAATCTTAAAGATCTAATGTAATTATGCAGTCCATTTGATCCATAAAAAGCTGCACAACATTTATTTTCTGGGGTACTAGGAGTGCGTTCATCTACAGATTGAGCGACTGACCACAAATCCAAGCGAGCACGTCTTCTCCCTTCTTTGTTTCCAGATTAAGATGAAAAGTGATGAAACGAATGAATTAAAGGAGTCATGAAGTCGAAGTTTAAGCAACCATATTCCTTTGTTGATCAAAATTGTGGTAGATTTGGTCTAAACATATTATTTGTCAAAAAGACTGGCACAGTTCACCAGATTTCGCCTAACATTAACATATAACATAATTCATATCAGCTCAAAATTGTGGTAGATTTGGTCTAAACATATTATTTGTCAAAAAGACTGGCACAGTTCACCAGATTTCGCCTAACATTAACATATAACATAATTCATATCAGCTCAAAATTGTGGTAGATTTGGTCTAAACATATTATTTGTCAAAAAGACTGGCACAGTTCACCAGATTTCGCCTAACATTAACATATAACATAATTCATATCAGCTATGAAGCTGAAATCAGTCATCGATGTCAATTTTCAATCAGGTGATGTTAGAGAGTCCAAATAAATCAATAAATTCGACAATCACATCAAATAAATTCCTGACGAGATCGTATAATGAGCCAATTACCTCAACGCCTTCGGAAGTGGCAGCGTAGACAGGAGAGGTGTTGTAATCTGAGTCTAGGGTTAGGAAGAGAAATATAGCGAGACCAAAGAAAGACAGCGCCATCACCAGTAGAATTCCAATAAACCAAGTCCGTTGCCAAAACGGAAGGTCTAGATCCGATTCCGAAAACGACGAAGGACCAAGAGTTTCTCTGTAAATGATCCGAGTAGGAGCCGATGGACGTGACGGCGACGAATTAGAAGAAGGGGCGGTTCTTCGTCGTGAGAGGTTGCTGTGGTTGCTCTGTTGCTGTTGCCCTGACGGAGGAGCCACGGCTGTATGTTTTCTCAGGTCGGAGCCTCCGGCGGGAGATCCGGCCTCCGGCAGCTTAATACACAGACTTTGAAAGAGCGAGAGAAAGGGCGTGTGTGTGTGTGTGTGTGAGTTTGTCCCCCAGCGATTCGATTGAAAATTTGTTCTTTGAAGTTTCTTCAATGGCGATGCCACGTAGGTTGCAGGTTTTAAGCAAATAGCATTGTGCCACGTGGTTTTTGGTCCCAGCTGGACTGCTGATTAGGATTGTTTTGACCATCCACCACGCCAAGGAAGAAAAAAACATGTCTTTGGCTTTTGTCTTGGGGTGTATGGGATTTGATTATTTAAAATAATTTATGTTTTTTTTTAAGTGGTTATTGTTTAAATTATAGTTTTATAAAAAAATATTTGGATTAGTTTATAAAAAATATTAAAATGTAAAAATTGATAAATTGTTTTTTTAGTATTTGATAAATTTTGTTTATATATGTAAAATAATAAAAAAATGACATTTTTTATCTCTCCGGTCAATTTTTTTCCTCATTCAATTCAATATTCAAGAAAAAAAAACCCACAAAAACCAACAATCAGTTCCTCCAAAAATCTTTCACATATCCCGCCATAATCGAAAGTAATGATGGCCAAAAACCGGTCCTGGCTGGTCCTTACCGGGCCTGATCATCTCTTTAATCGGCGGTAACTGGCCGGTCCCGGTTACGGTGAAAATCCGCTTAACTGGTCAACCTATAACCGGTTATGCCTAGCCGGCCCGGGCCGGTTTGGCCACTAATCGAAAGTGGTAAAATAAAGTTTGAGGAATTGCAGAAGCAGGTAAACATATTTGTTGGTTTTTTTATCTTGTTCATTGTAGATTGACTAGATTCCATAACAACACCAACAACGAAAAAGAAGAAAAACCCACAAATTCGTTCATCAAACCCTAGCCAGATTTGAAGGAAATCAAAGGTACTCAGTTGGAAATTCGGAAAAATAAGAGCTGGGTGTTCTTCGATTTCAAGTTTTCATCGAAGATTATGAAGCAAATGTCATCTTCTCAGATGGATAATATCCCATCTTAAGCCTGTGTTAAATGAAAACAAACGCGGAGACCACAAGAACGCAAATGTAATTTTGAGAACAAGCAAGAACACATTGAAGCAAATCCCATCGTTATTAACAATTATATCCACTAAGATACGAAGCAAGCAAGAAAGAGACAAAGGTGGAGATGTTGCATATAGTGAAACAAGTAAGGAAGAGACGAACGTGATTTGATGAGTAGTATTAGGTTTAGGGTTAAAAATAAATTGGTTTTCAAAGCTAATAAGCAGTTTTTGATAAGTCAAAAGAGAGTAACTTATCAAAAACTTTTTTATCACCGGCTTGGCACTAGTATAATTTTTTTTTCTTTTTTCTTTCTATTTAAACACTAAAAACTACTTATTACATGTACCGCACCGGATTAAGTCAATAAGCAGTTTTAAATAAGCAATCTCAAACACCATGTTAGTCAAGGTTTTAAGAGAATCTCCAAAATGGAGAACCAAAAGTCAAAATCTTCAACAACAAAAAAAAAGTTCCATTCATCTCTAAAAGATTCTCTATTTCAGAGAATACAACATTGATTATAATATTAAAATATTTCATTCATTTATTAAAAATATAATTGCTCTCTCTAAATATTTATTTTCAAAGTCTCCTATTGGTGGTTCACCTGGTAATCATTTTTGGGGTTATCTCCATATCTGAAGGAAGAAAACCTTCTCTCGTACTTTTTCCCCCCTTTTAGAGATAGTTTTGGAAAAGTTGTTGAAGCAAAATATTAACTCAAAATTCTTATATTCTTAATTATCTTTGTTTTAAAGAAGTTATTGAAGATGCTCTTAATGAAGATATTGAATGAAAAAAGATGTGAAAGAGGAAAAACCAACATTGTGGAAGACGATATGGGAAAGAATTGAGTTCACACAGATGAATGAAAATGGGTATGAAAATGAAAATGACAGGGAATTAATTTTCATTCCCCTCAATTTTAACCTGGAATAAAAATTTGGGCTTCTGAAAGAATGGAATCATCGAGTTATAAAAAATCAGACAGTTTCTTTTATTTTCATTCACATTAATTACTGTTTAATACATGTTACCAGACACCATTGAGTTCCAATTGTTCATCCATAGGCTATTGTAGAGTAGAGATGGCCAAATGGGCCCGGCCCGGCCCGGGACCGCTGGAGGACCGGGACCGGGACCGACTATGGACCGGCCCGGGACCGGGACCGGTAAGGACCGGTTATGGGACCGAAAACCGGGACCGGTTAAGGTTTTTGGTAGTTTCGTGGGACCGGGACCGGGACCGGTTATGGGACCGACTATGGACCGGCCCGGCCCGAAAATTCAATTAATTTTATAAATAAATGTATTTTTAAATAATTTTAAAATGCATTTTTAAAGTGTATTTGAGTGACCCAATTGTAAATTTTATAATGTATTAAAAATATATATCATTAAAAAAATAAAATAAAAAATCTTATTTTTTTAATGAAGGACCGGTTGGGACCGGTTGGGACCGGGACCGGGACCGGTGGCCCATAACCGGTTATAAAGTACCTATACCGGTCCTATCATTTTCGACCGGGACCGGGACCGAGACCGGGACCGGTTATGGCCGGTTATGAGAATGGTGAGGACCGATTGGGACCGGCCCGGGACCGGCCCGGGACCGGTTTTTGGCCATCTCTATTGTAGAGCCTTGTGAGTGGGCTTCATTTATGGACTAACAATGAGAGTGCTCCATAAATTGGTTATTGGGCCAAGTGTTAGTGGTGTTATTTGATTAATGCTTGTTAATTTGTTATTGTGAGGGGTTTGTTTATTAGCAGTTTAATGAAATTTATTGTTGAATTGGTTAATTATATATAATTATTTGGTAGTGACTTAATGATATAAAAAATGACTTATTCAGTAGGTTTCTAACGGAAGCTTTTACAGAAAGACATGTTTTTTTGTCAAACATGTCTCTCCCAATTAAAAAACATATTCATTACATTTACGAAAAAAATCCGTCATAATAAAACTTTCTCAATCTCTCTCTCTCTCTCTCTCTCTCTATATATATATATATATATATATATCTAGGGGAGTGATCAAATGCAAACCACTCAATTTGTACAAACCGTGCAAACTTCATTCAACCAATCATAATTTTTCATTTTGTTCATTTTTTTGTAATTATGAGAAGTTGATTAATCATTTTTATTGTGAAGGGTATTAATCATAGATATTATCATGTTCATTATTTTAATTTTAGAGAAATACATGAAACAATTTCATTAAGTATTATATGAAACAATTTCACAACAATATATGAAACAACTTCATCAAAAAAAGTATTATATTAAACAATTTCACAAGATTAAACAATTTCATTAAAAAATTTCATAAGATTAAACAACGAAATCGACGGATAAAGGTGGTTTGCACGGTTTACACAAATGAGAGTGGTTTTCATTTGATCGCTAATCTATCTATCTATCTATCTATCTATCTATCTATCTATCTATCTATCTATATATATATATATATATATATATATGTGTGTGTGTGTGGTTGGGTTCACGTGAGACCAAAGGTTTTTCGTGAGACCAATTTATGTTCATTGATCAACTTTATAAGCTAATTATCTAATGGTCTAAAGTTGCACGGTGACAATTTTGTGATTATTGAGAAGTCTCGTGGCAATTTTGTGATTATTAATGTTTAGATTATAAATCTAATCCAAGGGTTGAGAAATGGTCTTACGGATCTCACGAAAAACTTTTGGTCTCACATGATCCCAAGTATATATATATATATATACACACACACACATACACACATATTAATTCACACATACAGTTTTATTCATATAAGACTTAGGGGTTGTTTGATTTTTTATCCATCAAGTTATGAATCTATAACCACAAGGGCGGTGTCTGATTGAGATCAAAAGTGTCTGGAGGTCTCAGGTTCAAATCCATTGGTTCAAATGGTCGCCCTGTATTTCCCAATCTATATAGGTCCAATCTCATATGCTAGCGGCTTCTTTGTTGATTGGTCATGAGATTAGTCGGCTCGCATAGCATGTTGGATATCCAGGTTAATAAAAAAAATATGAATCTATTAAGTTTCTCTAAGCATTCATTTGTCTAGATAAATTAAAATAAATTGGTGTTTGATTTTTATTGTGAATAAATAGTCTGAATAATAAAAATTATCATTTTAATCTTATGTCTAGATAAGTGTTGAATCACAATTAAACTGTGTAATAAATATTTTTAATGATAAAAAATTAAAATAATATAAATTATTTAAAATAACAAATAATATGAGTTCAACGAGTTCATAACATAATACTTAATAACTTAAATTATATTTAAAAATAAATAAAGTATTATTAATTTATTACAATTTTTAATGTATGCATGTAGGCAAAAAAATAATGAGATGTGAATTAATTATCGTAGGATAAGGGTAATTTTGGAAGAAAAAAAAAACTAGCTTAATGCATTAAGATATGATGGGTTAACTTAACATGTTAGGGGTCGTTTACCTAAATGCTTACAGGTAAGTGCTTACTGTTAGGAGCCAACACTATGATTTATTTACCTGGTAAGATTGTAGTACATCAAAATGGTATCATATGCAAAAATTTACTCGGTAAGCACTTACCCGGGTAAAAGTCGTCACCCTCACTTACCGAGTAAGATTCTCCATCTTTATCGTTGTTCTTACCGGGTAAGATTTTTGACCATTTTCCCTATTCATCCTGTAAGAAAAATTACCCGATAACTTACCATGTAAGCGTTTAGTAAACGGCCCCTTAGTCAATCTTGGTATTAAGTTGAAATCAAACACTTTAATATAATTCAACCTGTTAAATTAACCACTCATTAAGCTTATTAAGTTGAAATTTGAAAACAAACATCCGCTTAATTGAAAACCGACCAATCAACCCCATAGTGTTATAGGAGTTCAAATTCAATTACGAACCCTAAATGTTACCTTCTACAAAATGAATAAATAATCGTTTTGATAAAATCAACTAAAACAGTCTGACCTTTATCAGTATTATGTCATGATTTTTAAACCAAAGATCAGATAATT